ACCCTTGGTAGGGGTCAGGACCCCCAGGTTAGGAACAAGTGTGCTAGATAGCAGTGTTGAGGGCCGTTTGACTCTTCCACTCCAATTTAACAACATATTGCTTGTGTGTTACAGGTAAACTGTGACAAATACTAATACAGATCACACTGTTCTGACTGCGTAAATAAGTAAACAGATTAAAATCTATTTCTGTGGTGTTGCCTCACTTTCTCATTACTGTCATAATGTTGATGTCTGTCCTTGATGAGTGACTGTGCTTATGAGTGAATCCCAGATGAGAATTTCCAAGTTAATGGCACACTGGATTTCCATCGATTGCTCAACAAGGCACTACAAAAAGGGAGCTCACGACCTGCAGAGCACATCTGAGGAATCAGCACAGCAGTGGGACAGTTTACCAGGTGGAATATCTTTTCTCTTTTACCTCAAGTACCTTTCTGTATGTGTCTGATAACAGAGCTCACAAAGTCACAGCTGAATGTTGCATTTGATTTCTGACACATTTCCACCTTTGCTTTATTCACACAGAGATCAGTGAACAGACACGTGAGAACATGAAGACTGTGATTCTTGCTCTTGTGGTGTTGCTGGTTGTCAGCCAGGGTGAGTTCATGTACAGGAAACACTACAAACCTGCAGCTGATTAATAACACCTGGAAATTAATATCATGTTTCCAGTGCATCTGTTCTGAGCAGATTTTAGAGCTAAACACATCTGAACATCATTTTATTTTTTCTTTTCCAGGTGAAGCCTTGAGGTGCTACTGTGGAGGTCGTACACACTGTTCAAGCCGTGTACAGACCTGCTCTGGTTCAAATAAAGTCTGTGCCAGAATCACCTTTACGCATGGTGAGTACAGGCTGTTCCTTCTGTGTACTAGAGATGTGCGTGATTAGTCGTCTAAACGATTAAACGTCCGCCCCTCGCTAGTCAGCACTCGGCACCACAAATATTAATCTGTAAACCAATTAGTGTTTTATTCATGTTCAAGGCCGCTCAACTGTCATGCAGCTGCCTGGCACTAGTGGGTGCTACAGAGCCATCAGACAGTAGTCCCCTCCTCAGGGTAATGCTCAGGAAGACAGGAGTTTTAAAACAGCACGGTGGGAAATTGGAGAGATTTTCTCTCACAAAACCAGTGCAATTTGGAAGGATTTTGACCTAGAAAATGAAAACAAGGTAGCCACACTCAGACCAATTTGACACTGTTCACCTGGAGATGCTGTGATCCCGCCCGGTCTGAGAAGATAACCCAGCTCATCACGACAATGACCTCGCAAGATATGCTTCCACTTGACGTCGTTGAAGGTAAAAGCTTCAGGAAGTTAATGGAATATGTTGAGCCTGAATACACTGTGCTGAGACCTTTATTTAGACTAGTCGACTAGTCTAGTCATCAAGGAAATTAGTCGCCAGGAACATCTCTGGACCAAGGACAAACATCCATCACATGGACCCGTCCTTTGAAAACTTGTACATGTTGTCTAATAATCCATGTTCTTTGTCCATGTTTCTACAGATTACAGCTACTTCCAGAGTTGCTATGATGCAAGAGCCTGCAGGGGACTGGTTAATTCAAGTGGATACTCCGGCAGATGCTGCTTGACTGATCTGTGCAACTGATAAATGAACATCATGTGACACATCTGTCAGTAATAATGATCATCTTCAGCCATGTCTTGTGTACTTTAGTGTTGTCATAATAAAGATCAATCAAGTTGCAACTTCTTATGTCTTTATCCAATGGTATTCCAAAACAACATAAATCTGAAATCTTTTATTCTGGAAAATAACAGACTTTTGTTTTGTTTGGTAAAGTCAAGTCTTAGGGTCAGACAGCGACATTATTACAATTCCTGCAGAATCACAACTTCATATCAGAGGCCAGTCATCACTGAGCAGCACAAATGAGCTTTGTCCTAGCTTCTTTTGAACAAGGCACTGCCCCCTTGTGACACAAATGGAACTACATGACCTTGATGAAGAAGAGGGAAACAATTTCATTTGCAAATGGGATCCAAAGACGAGTAAGACCAAGAACCCATTAACTATCCACCTGGTCAGATCATGGTATGAGGTCCATAGAATCATTGGTGTGAGGAATTATTTGTCACCCAAAACACCTTTGTGGAAAAACAAACTCATACCAATGATCTCTGATAATAACATTTTTGAGATTTGGTGTGACAGAGGAAAAGACACATTGAGCAATGTTACAGTAATAATATTTTCATGTCCTTTGAACAGCTAAAAGCAACAAACACTTCCTCTCTTATCTGCAACTTAGAGCCTTTATTAAAAAAAGTCTGGGGGAACAAATGACCCTACCTGACCTGACAAAGGTGGACGAACTGTTCTACAGTCACAAAGGTTCAAGGCAATTCAATAGTAGGGTTTATGTAATGATGATTAAAGAATGCCCAAAACATAATGAAGAGAGATGAAGAGAGAGGTGTGAATCTGACCTTGGTGTTACTTTAGATCATTTATGGTCTGACTATTGTCAGAAGAGTTTGTTCACCACCTTGAATGCCAGATTTAGATTGGTCAGCTACAATTTTCTCCATCAGCTGTTCCTAACCCCTTGAAAGTTACATGGTAATCCTGCACATGGCACTGCACCAAAGTTACAACATTTTGGATTGATATGTGTGACACACTCCTAAAATTATGGACACACCAATTCCATTAGATGCAGGACGTTTCTTCTCTCCTAGGAAATGTTACAAATTTGAAACTAATTCAAAGCTCCAGGAAATTTATCGACACACCTCTGACTGTTTCCAGGAAGTGTACTGCATTAACCTGGATTCCCCTCTCTCTATACCAAAATGGACATCAGAAATGATTATTTGTATGCCTCTAGAGAAGATCACCTATGTCCTGAAAAACAGATATGATGCCTTTTTAAAGATTTGGCAGCCTTTCATTGAATATATAGAAACATTACATTTATCAACCTTGGACACACTAATCTTTGAACTGGCTCCATTGTAAGCTAACGTTCAGGTACGATGGTTGAGGTATCTTAGTAACAAGAGAGTCACAAAATAAATAGCCTAACTTTTTGGCTCACTGTTTTAGTGAGATGTGTCTCTATATTGATTTTGTTTCCCATTTTTTTTGGAAAGGGGATTGGTTGTGATGTTCACGTTAAATTGAAAAACTTAAAAAAGGCCAGTCATCACATCTGTGCATTTTTGATCCATCCATCCATTGCTTTCCAGCCCGGAAGTCCTCCTTCTTCAGCCTGACGGCCCCCCTCACCACCGGTGTCCACTAACGGGTTGTTAGGTTGCCGTCAAGTCAGGCACTGACAACCTTCTGACCGCAGCTCCCGGCAGCTGCCTCCTCAGTGGAGGCTTTGAACATGGACCCCTCAGATTCCATGTCCCCAACCTCCCCTGGAGAAATTCTTCAAGAGCTGGGAGTTGAAGACCCCATGGACAGGGGCCTCAGCCAGACGTTCCCAGTTCACCTTCACAACACGTTTGGATTTACCAGGTCTGTCCAGCAGCCTGCCCGCAATCTCATCCAACTCACCACTACCTGCTCCTCTTTTCACCTGAGTGTCCAAGACACACAGCTGCGGATCTGATGATACAACCACAAAGTCTATCATTGATCTTTGGCCTAGAGTGTTCTGGTACCTGGTACACTTATGAACCTCCCTGTGCTTGAACATGGTATTTGTTATGGCCAATCCATGACTCACACAGAAGTCCACTAACAAAACACAAATCTGGTTCAGGTCAGGCAGGCTGTTCCTCCCAGTCACCCCCCTCCAGGTTTCTCGGTAATTGCGCAAGTACGCGTTGAAGTCTCCCAGAAGAACTATGGAGTCCCCAGCTGGCATCCCTTCCAAAACACTGTCCTGAGACTCCAAGAAGGCCGGGTACTACGAACTGCTGCTCAGTGCGTACGCACAAACAACAGTCAGAGACCTTCTCTTAGCAACCCGCAATCACATCAAGGCGACCCATTTGTTGCATTAGTTCTTGTGTATAATTAATCTGAGCACAAAAAGTGAAGTCTCCTGAACCAACACAGTGAAACAATGTTGGGAAGGTTACTTCTGAATTGTAAAAGGTCACAGATTACTAGTTACCCTGTTAAAAATGTAATAATGTTACTATTTTAATAACTTCATCAAAATGATATTAAAATGTCTGGAAATAGAAAACACACTGCAAAGAAAAAGATGCAAAGCAAAAGAACATATAAACGTTTTATAACCACCCATATTTTCAATTACTAACGTACTTTAATTGTATTTTTTTTTTAGTAATGTTTACTGATTATAATCAAATATATTGTGTAATTTAAATAAATGTAACAAGTTCCTCCCCAACACTGGTAAAATCCACACTTTCCCAACACTCTTTTTCAGCCTCTCATCCACCACAAGGTGGTGCAATGTGACAGAGAAAGAGAAAACTCAGCAGAGCCTGTGTGTGATCAGCAGCCCTGAGATCCTCACAATCTTTTCCAGAGCAGGTGGAAGTATTTCTGTCTCAGTCTCCCCTGTGACTCTGTCTAATGAAGGCAAATTTACCAAAACTATAACAAACATTTGTCCCGCCCTAACAGGAGAGTCAGGGAGAGTCTGTTCACGCCCACACAGTCCTGAATGAAGGTCTGATCAGCCAAATGATTACATCTGTGTGGGGGTAACATGGACGTACAGGGCCTTTGATGATTTGGGATTAGGTTGTTGTGTTGTTTTTTTAACGCTCTTAAAAATATAAGCTACTTGTGTAATAAAACAGCATGATAAAGTTCTACATTTTGAAGTGTAATTTAGATAAAAAACGCACAGATGTGATGACTGACCTTTGGTATGAAGTTGTCATTCTGCAAGAATTGGAATAATAATGCTAAAACTTGACTTTTAGCAGCCAAAACAAAAGTCTGTGATTCCCAGAATAAATGATTTTTTAAATAAAATGTAGCTGATTCATGTTGTTTTGGAATACCATTGAATAAAGACAGAAAAAGCTGCAACTTGATTGATCTTTATTATGACAACACTAACATACATGACACATGACTGTAGATGATCATTATTACTGACAGATGTGTCACATGATGTTCATTTTTCAGTTGCACAGATTAGTCCCGCAGCATCTGCCGGAGTATCCACTTGAATTAACCAGCAGCCTGCAGGCTCTTGCATCATAGCAACTCTGGAAGTAGCTGTTATCTGTAGAAACATAGAAAAGGAACTTGTACAAGTTTTCAAAAACTGGTCCATGTGATGGATGTTTGTCCTTGTTGTGAACAGTAAACAAAAGGAACAGCCTGTACTCACCATGCGTAAAGGTGATTCTGGCACAGACTTTATTTGAACCAGAGCAGGTCTGTACACGGCTTGAGCAGAGCGTAAGACCTCCACAGTAGCACCTCAAGGCTTCACCTGGAAAAGAAAAAAGAAAATGATGTTCAGCTGTGTTTCGCTCTAAAATCTGCTCACAGCAGACACACTGGAAACATGATATTAATTTCCAGGTGTTATTAATCAGCTGCAGGTTTGTAGTGTTTCCTGTACATGAACTCACCCTGGCTGACAACCAGCAACACCACAAGAGCAAGAATCACAGTCTTCATGTTCTCACGTGTCTGTTCACTGATCTCTGTGTGAATAAAGCAAAGGTGGAAATGTGTCAGAAATCAAATGCAATATTCAGCTGTGAGCACTTTAATCATGCACATATTAAAAAGCTTAAAGATATCCCACCTGGTAAATTGTTCCACTGGAGTTATGATCCCTTAGATGTGCTCTGCAGGTCGCCTGCTTCCTTTATATTGTGTCATCGATGGAAATCCAGGTAATTATTAACTCTGAAATTGTCATCTGGGTTTTATTCACACGCAGAGTGACTTGTGAAGGACACGTGTGGATGCTGCGAAACACACTATGATCCCACTGATTCACCAGAGGAAATACAAATGCTTTTAATTGTCATAATCATAATCAAAAAAGAACTGAATCAGTGTTAGTGTTAGCTTTAGATAGCCTGAGTTATAAAGCTGCATGGACACATTTGTAAAGCACAATCGGCACTTAGACCAAGAAACTGTTTCCCAACAAGTGAAATGTTTCAGACTCTCATTCAGAGGGCAATGTGCAATGTGAAAACAGCATTATTATTTCATTATAATAACAACATCTGACAAAAAATAAGAATACATCATTAAATATCATAATAGTTGAACTCTAAGAGTCATACTGACCTTTATTTAGCACAAAGTTTACTTACTGGAAACTTCCCAAGAGGTGTGGCCAAGAGCTCCTGAAAATTTCCCGTAAGTGGACCTTGTGATAAGATTTTTTTTTCCAAAATCAGAGAGGCTGTTGTTTCCCAAAATCCTCAATGTACAAAACACTGCATATATGTTAGTGTGCGGGAATCTTTTTCTACCAGTTTGGACTTACTGATGTTTCCAGCACCTTGCCAAGACCACGCTGGGTGGAGCAGTGGTTGTTCTGCATCAGCAAAATCCTGAATTTAAAATACCTTAGCTTGTGTTGGCTATTTAAATATCAGATGAAATATGATTTGTGTAAACTGAAGATCAACTTCCCTCCCCTTCCCAGCTGGCACATGACCGACCATCAACCTTGAAATTTGGTTGAAATGTGGTTGAAATGATGTCAGTTGTTTCAACATTAAAACAACATTTAAACAATGTTTAATTCTAATGGTTGTAACAAATTCTCATAAATCAACATTGAAATTTCATAAAGATCTGTGTCAACGTTGAAACAATTTTGAAACAATGTTTAAAGTTTATAAAACAACACTGCAAAATCAACATCAATTCATCTTCCATAATCAAAACATCATTCAACATTCAACCATGATGTGTGACGCTGATTTTATTGGATTACTTTTCACTGATTGCTCAGTGTGCTTTCTGTTGTCATTTATCTCTTGTTGTATTTTTCTGTATAATATTAGTTTAGTTCTTTTGTCTACTTTCCCCCTTTTTCTGTGGTCATTATCTGTCTTTCTCCTTAAATTGAGGGGAGGTTTGTTTGTATAAGCCTGTGGCTTCTTGACCTTTTCTGACACATTTCTTTATTTTATTTTATTTATTTATTTTACTGTTTGGATTTTATGCAGTTTTATGTGTGTGAAAAGAAAAAGTAAAAATAAATTAAAATAGAATAAAATAAAGATGAAAAAATAAATAAATACAAATGAAATATAATAAAATAAATAAATAAAATAATATTGCACATTTTAGTTTGACCCATTTTTACTTTGTTGTACTTTTAATATTACAATCCTGTTGGGGGTAAGCCTGGAGGGGATCACGCGTGTGGTCGTGTGTGTCGCAAACCACTGGACCAATCAGCGTAATATTTTTCGTGCACACGTCTGACTGTATGCGCTAGCATTGCAATAATTAATAATCGTTAAAAACGTGACAAAAACTGACATCCATGGGAAAGTTTGGTCTCATTTTGAACCGGAACACCTGCAGATTATTTCCATTACCAATTAGTTAAGGCCCACCACAGCTGAGCACGATACGAGATGAATAAACCGCCGTTTTTACTATTTCCTCTGCCATCTTGATTGTACGGAAGCCGGGAGGGACAATTCAACCGAGCCCAACTGCTCTTTTTTCTCCATAGACATATATACATAGACGCCGCATTGACTGCCGCTGCCTATCAGAGCCGATGTCCTCGCCGGCCGCCATCTTGGATGGGTCTCGCTTCGCCTCCACAGTGCATTCACTTCTATTGAGGAAGGATCTGTATGCACAAGTAAAATAGAATAACTCACTGAATTTTCAACTGATTTTCACGCGGTTTGGTTTGTTACAAACGGCACACATGTAGTTATGATACAGGATGCTTTCGTACATTAAAAATGCGGGATTTCATGCTTTAATACTTTCTGCAGATAGCAACAGCATGTTATTTAGGTCACAACACAGTTATTTTTTTCACCTCAACCCCAGAGTGGGATGGATATCTATCTATCTATCTATCTATCTATCTAT